TAGGCGAAAAGTTATGTGTCTCAAAGCATCGACCAATCAAATTGTGTATCTCTGCTTAGTCTAAGCAGAAAATGCTTATCATCGAACCCAGCCAAGGAGGTCACCTAATAAATTCCTACACCAAGTTTGAAAATTCTACCTCAATTGAAAGCAGAGTTACTGTGACCCACAAAGTATGATGACCCGACTAGGCAGACGGAAAGACGGACAGAAAACACCTTTTAATAGTCTCCTGCTATCTCTGAAAGACGGGGGACAATAACGAACCGGATATCAACAGTCTCTTTTCACAACACGCAAGCTAAATCCAGTTTAGACCGTGAAATATACAATTTTATTCCCAGGCGTTGTCCTTTTGTTGACATTTCCCAGAATGTGTTGAGTTTGGCGCGGACCTCCTGCACATTACTATCACAAAAATATCATTTCAAATCAGGTTATGGCTGGTTGCTCATTTCCGGGATTTAAATAATAAAGAATAATAAAAAAATATTTACCACTTGAGCGAGATTTATTTGGCGATCTGGAATCACGAGACCGTCGTCTCGGAGATGGTGATGCATGAGCGGATGCTATTTGACGAGTTGATTTTCGGGATTGAGCTGTGGAGCAATAAAGACCATCCATTGATTTTGAGATATGACATTATACAACATGGTTCAATAATCTTAAAATGCGCTCCCTGTCTGGAGTATGTCAAGTATTCTGGTGAGTAAAGAGGGACAAATGCGAGAACATAAATTATCTGAGAGAGATTTAGAGAAAATTGGTTTTTTTTTCATGATTTTATTAATAAACACATCTTCTGATATTTATGAGATTTTCTAATTATATAAAGCTAACTTACAATTCCTGGATTGTCCAGATTCATCAAGTGTGTCTAAAGATCGTCGTCTTGGGCCTAGACTAGACTCGCCATTTTCTTCTTTCTGTAATGATTAAAATAGTGTTGTATGCAACACTGAATAGTAAACAATACGGAATGTCATGATTTATCATATGGATCGAGGGTTTAGATGCACCTGAACACATACGATTAATCTACAATTATATACATGTATAGTGGTTAATTGTGTTTAATTAAAGACTTGATAACTCCTATCTTATTGGCAATGTACACGTCTGTGATAATATTAATAAGGTAAAGATACCTTTAATGACGGTTTTCTAAACGTGGTGTTAATTAGACCAGCATATAATGATAATGATAACACCCAATTCTCTTATTGTTTGAGTGTATATTTGTTTAGAAGACCCAGCTCCATAATTGGTTTCTAATCCCCGGTTGTACGTGACAAGGAGTAGGGTCGCCTGTTCAACCATATGTTAGTCCCGAAATGACCTAGTCTGTGTCGAATGGACGTTAAAACCCATCTCTCTCTCTCTCTCTCTCTCTCTCTCTCTCTAGCTCCATAATTGATGATGAGGTCCAATTCCCTACTTGTTTGTGTGTATATAAGACCTGGATTTCCTCCATTTTAAGGGGACCTACAACTTGGTTTCATTCCAGCAACCTATTCTTGTTTCCCCGATGTATATAAAGTTTATATTTACAAACTGGTAGTCTGCTAGTGTTGCGATATACAAAAAACATAATAACACATCTCACAGCGAATTGACACCCTTGCAATATTAAAAAAAACCTCCAGTATATCTTCATTACCTTAGGTCTAGTTGGATGTCGCTTATGATGTCGTGGTGATTTAGAGTGCTCTCCTTTCTTTCCACCCTTACTGTTATCGTCTTCACTAGGAACGAGTGGTGGAGGTACACTGGATTTAGGTAACTGGAAACCTTGTTGAAGCACGTGATCTCGTAATGGATACCAATGTGGTTTATTATCTAGAAATCCGACTTCTGAAAAACAAATAATGATTCGTTTATAATAGCTAAGATGAGTTCGGTGTAAATCTCGTTGTGTGAATAGGCACTTGATGTAAATGTCCCCTGTTTCTACCTTCACTTGGTTAAAGGAGTAACAACGGTCTAAACCTCCAATGGCCCTTGATCACTGCAGAGTCTGTCATAGGGTATTTTATGACTATTATCGAATGTACTAGATATAGAATACGTTTCTTATCCGAATCATTAGCTATTTGAAATTTCAAATACCAGACTGTGTAAACGTATGTATACATTGCATCGTCACTACACATCAAGAGGAGGAGGAAATGGTAACATCCAAACAATACCAACTAGGTCACTTTTTAACTTATACAATTATACAATGGAAGAGAACTTGGCATTTCCAGATATCCTATCCCTTGTCAGGTACATACGACATGCAGACAGTACATAATACATTACATAAATTCTAATTATTTGTCGTCATAATCCATGACGTTACTTACCATCCATTTCTATAATAAGTTCACCCAGGAAGTCGTTGGTTTTAAACCGGTCATAATCCCACACTGTTATCTCCAGTACTTTATTCTTTAATTCTTCACGAGCTAAATTAGGGAAGATCAACGTCTGGTGCCACTCAGGAAATAAAGTACGGGGTATATGTTTTGTTCGACGTTTATTTTCGGCCCTGGAAAAATGTAAGATACAATCTAATTACATTTAGATACTAATTTCATTTGGTAGATATTTCTGATTTTCACACTACACTGTATAGCAACTTGCTTTCTATTACAACCGCGTTTTCTACCAATGACAATTCTATATGTATTCATAATAATAGATTCGCTATTATATGCTTGAAATATACAATTCCTACCATTCATCAGGAAACGAAAGAAGTCCCGTCTATAGATACATAATTTTTGTTTGGTCGATAAGCTCACATGATCGGAACATCGTCTTTAAAGACAATATGTTAGATGTTAGCAACATTTAAAAAGACGAAACGTATTTAACATCCGGTTTTAAACAAATTAGGCACTGGGTTCTTCGAGACGTTGATTGAGAGTAACGCAACTTATCGGTTGCAGTCGACCTACGAGTTCGTACATCAGAAATACAAATGATTCAGTAGGTGATGTGATATATCTGGTTACAGCAAGACCAAGCGAGTGCAAATGAGCATAACGTGTGAATCGTATGCAACTGGAGGGCTGTGGCGTTATCTTCATATAAAGGTGGAAAAGAAGAAAAAATCCCAAAAGATGTAAATATATAACTCACCCTCTTCCAGGCAAAAGATAGATTTTTACGAAAGGGTCAGAAAGGCCGTTAAGATCACGTGGTTTGAGGTTTCTAGCTTGAATGACGTGTACATTTAATGTATTATCATAATCGTCATGACTAATCTGTATCTGTAATAAAATAGATGTAATATTTTATATAATAGGTCAATTCACATCTACGAATAGACAGAGACCTAAGGGCGATAACTATAATTAACAAATTATAGGCTGGAAAGACCGAGCAGTAGAATTGGTTCCGAGGTGAGTATAAAAGGATTTTAAGATTAACTTTAATAATAGGTTTTGTTTTTTTAAATATAGACTATCAAATTAATATAATTGACGGTGAAATGTATTTTTATTTTGGAAGTTAATTTAGCTATAATACTATTAAGTGTCATCATAAGTTTGTTTTTTAAGTATAGTCCATCCAATTATAATAATTGAGAGTGAAATCTATTTTTTATTTTGAGAATTACTATAGTAATATTTAAGATTGATTATGTTTACGCACCTGTATTTCACCTTGTCCGTTACTTTCCTGGTTATTGGAAGGAGACCGTGAATGGCTGGTGCGACTTTCTTGGCTTGCTAGACCTGACGAATGGCTGGCCTGACCTGACGAATGGCTGGCCTGACTCGATGAATGACTGGCCTGACCCGATGAATGACTGGTCTGACTTGTCGAATGACTGGCTTGGCTTGGAGAGTGACTTGCGCGACTTGGCGAGCGACTTGTTTGACTCGGGGAGTGGCGTGCGTGATTGGGGGAATGGGTTGAACGTTTGGGAGAGTGACCCTTGCGGCCTTGGTGGATACTGTGATGACTGGTAGGAGGGGACTGGACCCTTTGCGTAGACCGATGAGAAGGAGCTGTCTGAGGCGGAGTGTTTGAGGTATGAGCGGAGTGCGAGGAAGGGGTTGAGTGGGTTGTATGGGAGGTATGAGATGCTGACGATGTGCTGCTGCTGACCAGTTGACCTTGATGACCCTGATGACCTTGACCTTGAGAGGCGTGAGCCGAATGAGCCTGGGACGCCACCTGTAGTAGAAGATAATTATATAATAGAGCATGTCATCCATGTAAAGACGCCATTCATGAATAATAACAGCTGCAAGTTTAATCTGTAACATTTTCCTCAGAACTATTTTATTTTAATGACATTTCTATGCCGTCGTCAATTACAATGATTACATATATAGTATCAACGTCTTGTTTCGTGTCATTTACATATTCGCAAATCTGTAATCCACAATCGAACAATTACTGTTATTCATCATTACATAATCGACATATTTAAAGATAAATCAATCAATTGAATATTTTTTGTATTAGATAATTAATAAGAATGTGAAAAGTTAAACTACATGATGGTTAAATGGGAAGAAAAATGATCAGTACTACATAATGATAAACCTCGTCACTACTACCAGATATAAATGGCTACACCTATTTGATTTGGATCAAAAATAAAACTACCCATCTCACTGAATGTTATGTATTGATATTGTTTGTGGAATGATAATAATCTGTCTTCACTAGACATTTTACGTCTATAAATAAAGCTAGTTTTGTGATATAAACCAGTTTGTGTTTCAACTGTCGACACTGCAAGCCAATATGTACACTAAACAAAAGTTTAAGCGTACTGAGGTGTGTAACCTATCACTAAACGAAATAACAGATCAAATAATTTCAATACTTTTTTTTAGATCTAATCAAAGAGGTTAAGCAAAGTCAGACAATCTTAAACTAAAATTCCAAACATGCATACCATATGGTGAACTTGGAGAATTTACAAAAGGAAAAAAGGGGTCGTACCTTTTCATGAACTACACGTTGATGTTTATCAGATGGTGTGGATGTAGGGTCAGAGAGAGGGGTGCTGCAAGGGGAGGAAACGCTAGGCGTAGGAAAGTCGTGCTGAGAGGAAGCCGGGGAGTTCTCGGGAGAGACATCTTCTCTAATTTCCTCTAGTTGAGCTGCAAGTTGTTGAGGATCAACACCTTTGGGAGAAACACTCGACCGAGACTCTAAAACAGAATGGAAAAAAAACTATTGTTAGGAAAGTGGTCACGATGTTGGTCAAGTGTGATTTAACCTAAAGAACCCCGCCATTCGAAATATAGTTTCTTTAAAAAATATATTAAATTCTTTTAATTTAACTATAAAATGAAACATTCAACAGACATACCTTCTAAATCTATTTATTCGTGGTCCTATAAACCAAAACTAAATTCAATATTTAAAGAAATAAACAAATAAAAATACCTACTTTTATTTTATAAAATGTTCAATATCAAACACAAAAAATAATTTATCTTAACCTTACATGGGTGGTTAGAAACATAAATTTCAAGATAAATATTAGCGGAATTTTATAAATAGTTAAATGTCAGACACAAAGATCAGTTTATCTTAACCTTATATGGGTGGTTAGAAACATAAATATCAAGATAAATATTAGCGGAATTTTATAAATAGTTAAATGTCAGACACAAAGATCAGTTTATCTTAACCTTATATGGGTGGTTAGAAACATAAATATCAAAGTAAATATTAGCGGAATTGTATAAAATGATAAATACCAAACACAAAGAACAATTTATTTTAACCATTATGGGTGGTTAGAAACATAAATATCAAGATCAACATTAGCGGAATATTCGGCAACGAGAAGTACTACACAGATGTTAGAGCAAAAAAAGGTTTGATAGTTGATAAGACAGAAACATATATTCCTGGATCTAGGATATGATTGAACAAAGACTTGGTGTTTCCTACGTAAAACTATGTATTGTAAATTTATATCTGTACGCAATAAATAAAAACAAAGAACACAAGGAGGAAATGATTAGCCGGTCAGGGGACAGCAGGTACTGAAGGAATCAGAACTGAGTTAAACACAGACCCAGATCGTAGATCGTGTGGTGAAAAGACTGATGAAGCTACAAAGGTTTGTTTCAGATTAAAGGTTTGTTGAAAGAGGGAAAGGAAGGAACAGTCAATGTGGAGATCTTCAGGGCTTCTGATCCAGATTGGGTGCAAGTGGGAAAAAGTGTTCTTCGTCATTTTATGGTTATTACCCAAAATGCTATGATTTATTTGAGATAGATACATTAATGAGGAATTTTAAGTGAACTGAGAATTGTGTAATAGAATATGGAGTTTTTTCCGTAATCAGAAGCCCTTGACGTCAAGATGGTTAGTAAGAGCAATTAATGGAAAATAAGAATGGATATCAAACTTACTGTCCCCGAGTTCATCATCACTACATGGTAGATCTAGATTATCGTAGGATGAATGGCAGCTGTTGGAATGGCCGGTCGGACGTTTTGAGCTTGATGGGAAAGCTAACCTGTATAATAAAGACACGATTTAGGATAGTTGACAGGATCACGACTATGTTACCAATGCGATGCGTTACGATAGGACTGTCCACGATCTGCTACGTACAGACACCTTCGGATACGTTTAGATACAGTCAGCACGATTGTTACGACTGACCTCAATATATGATAAGACCAGATAGGATCACTACTATTACTCCGCGATTGAAACCACGATTTCAATCGTAGGACTAATCGTGATAATTGGAACCTACCATTACAGATATAATAATAATTTATCACTTGAATAATTTGTCTGTTCATGGACCTCTTTGAGCAACTCGACAACTCAATGGATCGGAGAGTCTAATCCTCGTCACGACAGATACTCTATTATGAAACATTATGTGACGTCTGAAAGATGTGTGATTGTAGTGTAATGGATAAAAAGGGAGACAACTCACGGTCTAACTACCATCTCTATTTCACCATTTGGCTGTGATATAATCTGTTGAACATCTTCGTAACTTTTACCAGATAACGTCACGCCATTCCATTCCAATACTTGATCACCTGAAATAAAAAAAGTAAATGATAGCCATGTTGAAACCAAATCACAACTAATATACATATTTGCATATCCCCAAGAAATATTATCAAGCATTATCATCTCATTAACCACTGCTACATCCGATAGAAATTCAGTCATCTTCTATGTACACTTATAGATCAATCCAAATAATTGATATACTTGCTGCTGTTTTACTTCTTACTGCTATTGACAATACATCTGAGATATAATTCAGTGCATAAAACCGGTTAACTATATTAGGTTAAAGGCTCTTAGACTAGGTCCCCGCTGTCGTGCGATGCATTACGATAGGATGGTTCCTATTGGGTCCACGTTCGGATAAGTTTCGATCCGATCAACACGATTACTACGACTGACCACAATATTATTATATGATCAGACCTGACACGATTACTTCATGATTATAACTACGATTTCAATCGTAGCGCGAATCGTGATATTGGGAACCTAGCATAAGCAATTCTGTGCGATTGGAGACAAACATCTTGATACACATGACTACAACAGAGAATAACATTACTACAACGCAGTAATAACATCGATCTCTACTTTCGTTTTATAGTTTTACATATCTTCCGTAGCTTTAAATTACACTACTAAGGATGTTTTATAAACGGCGTCGACAGCCGCGTTTAGCAGCTTACTCATTAAAAAAAGTGTAGATAAGAACTCTAACGCCTGTTACGATTTGGCTACGTTTTGGCTACGTTGAACTTATCGGTTTTAAAACGTTACGCGTTATTTATTGTGTTGTGAGCCTTTCCCTTTATCAGATAGTTATCCGCCCTTAAAAAATGAAGTCAGCTAAAGACGAAAAATGTTGTTTGCTACATTCCAACGTTAATTCGAAGACAACCGAATGTTTTCATCAACAGTACGGTAATTATAAACGCATATAGGTTCCAATGATCTTTACACAATAATTTAGCAAATGTAATTGGCATACATGGTTATAGATGGTGCTATCTTAATTAACGGTCTTCATCAGCCCAGTTGGGACAGAAAAAACCCATGTCATTTTATTTCATTTCTTAACTAGCCACCGCATGGTTTTTGTCTTTGTTCTTTACGGTCCATGTGCGGGTTGACAGAGAAAGTAGGACTGTCAAGTGTTTCAAGTTAGTTAGATTTCTTCTAGAATTTGGATCTAGGCAGCGCATCCAAACATTATTGATGCAAAAATGAACGGTTTGAAACATAAAAAGACTGATTTTCTTAGTTAAGAACTAAATTACTCATCATTCTGTATTTTCTGATATTATCTGCTGTTATTTGATATTAAAGAGAATTATACGTCATACAATTACTTATTGGCGAGCTATGTTTGTAAGAATAGAGAACGTAAAGTAACGCATTATATTATTGAATATTTACCTTGAACACAGAAACCACAACGTCAGTAACCTGTTTTGGCGATCATTTACAAACGGTTGAATATTGTTATGTCTTAAGGGAAACAGGCCTGGTACAATTACACTGGAAATGTGTAAGCTATTTCGAACAGCAATAGCTACCACATATTGTAAAAACACATAACGTGTCGTAGGTAAAACTTAAAAACACCAACGCCGTGGGTTTTCTCCGGGTCCTCTGGTTTCCTACCACTGCGAAAGATCAATACGCGCAAGCGAATTATTTAAATGAAATTGAACCATATGTTAGTTCCGAAATGACCTAATTTGTGTCGAGTGGAAGTTAAACCCATTTTTTCTCTCTTTTTTTTTAACTTACCAACTTCTAGTTCACCGTGTAGTTGATCAGCTACACCGCCAGAATAAATAGCTGTAACATAAGCACCTGTTTCTTTTGTACCTGGTATTTGTTTGCCACCTACTATCTTCATACCTAAACCATTACCTGCATAAAATACATAGGTACTTAAAATTATTATTATTACTATATCTGTATATCTGTCTAATATAGGATATAATGATTTGGCAGTGTGATATCAATATAGGTTTAAAATTGCCAGAATTAATCGATTTTAGACCAAAAAATGTTCTAAAGTTCTATATTTAAGTTTAATTGAAGCATGTTTAGACATTAAATTATCAATATTTAGAAACATACAATACTCTATCATTACAGAATCTCAGTTTTCAATTTTTTAAAGAATGAAAATATGATTGCATTTGCTTCTGCAATTTAAAACTGTTACACTGCCGTCTACTTTACAATGCCAATGTATTAAGACATACACCAGAGTAGAACAAAATAGTTTTGGGGGATTTTTAAATAGACATAGATTCCAATCAAAAGCTCATCTAACATGGTTGAATCGGTCGAGGTCAAGATGCATCGATTGTATAAAGAACGGCGTGATTGTTCCTTGGTGCTTGGAGTGATTGGCATTCAGATATTATTGATTTCTGTGCTAATCAATTTTTCAGACGTATATCGTAATAATTACATTAAGATAAAAAAAATTGTATATTGTTCATTTTTCTTATGTAGTACCTGAAAAGTATTTTCTTTATTAAGGGTCGTTTTATGGGCATAGATTGTTAAAGATCAACAGATAAATTGTCAACGGTTTTCGATTATAAAAAACACTGATTTGCAAAGGGGTAAGAATATGGACGTATACAATAATAGGTGTGATACGAAGAGTAAAACAAACATCGTCATCAATAATTGAATGCCGTGATGGATTGGTGCTAAAGGGTGTGTCAAGAAGAAAAGGACAACCATTGTCATACGTTATTGAATACAGTGATGAATTGGGGCCGGGTAAAAAAGTAGACACAACAAGTAAATGTAGAAGGTAGCAACATAAGAATGACAATATACATAATGATAAATTAAACTGCTTTTACCTGTCGTACCTGTAACGGACCTGTCTTTAGGGTCACGTGTTACTAGAATACGCTTAGTGGGAAATGGATATCGAATAGGATCTTTAGACGGAGTCTGAAAAATAATAAACAAGGTAATTTTAATCCCGAATTTATATGGCCCTATAGCAATCCTCATTTCAGACACATGGACTTCAAACTATGTTAAATTAAAGTAAATAATTCCACGAACTCGAGGCATCAAGCCCTGTTAGATACTAGCGAAATTTCGTGAACTAAAACCTGGCATAGTTATTCTTGGATAAAGATGTTGTATATTATATTTTACACATTTGCCATAATTTTCCGCCGTGGTCTAACCATCAAAGTCAGGAGTATGTTAAATGTTTATATCATTTATTATTTACATGTATATAATAATATAATACCTTTTTCTTCCTATCTAGTTGTTTTAGGATGGTTACTCCACCTTCTGTCATATGTTTCATGATTGGTTCATCAGCATCAACACTGTTATCACTCTCTACGCGATACATGGCGTTCATAAGATCTGAAAACAAAATGTTAAATATTAACTCCTAAAATTGATCGATAGTTTGATAGTTTCAGATGCTGGAGCACTCGTGTAGAAAATAACACCAGGGCTAAATGACACCAACAGTTTCATTGGGTAAGTGCTTTATACAAATGTAGAAGACAAGCTTGGTGGCTATGTGCACTCCTTCAATAGACACATTGAAATCTAACTTTTAAACCCTGTTCAAAAGCACATGCCTTTTATCTAACCATTTTTATGAAATTAAAGAGAGAGACATATTTCTAAAACGTACCTTCAACACCACCGTCCAAATTAAATTCTGCTGAAACAGGTCTACTTCCGCTTCCGATTTCTCTTATTATTTTACGAGATTTAGCCATGACGTCATCAAGTAATGGCATGGCAGGTGTATAGTCACTAGCTGGGCTTCCTTCAGATCCTGAATAAACACTAAAAGCGTCCCGGGTTGGTATATATTCGATATCACCCCTAGTGTGATACATATCTGGTAGGGTAACACTAGCGGACATGCGAGCATCCCGACTTGGGGTTGCGGATGGATAAGATGCTTCCATTCGCCTTGACATTCTCGGCGGTGATTCGGCTTCCATATCATTATAACCATCACTGTAATGCTGTTCATCAGAATAAATGCTGGCTTCGTCTGATTTGTATCTCCGAGATTCGTGCTTGTGTACGAGATACTCGGTCGAACTGTAAGCGTTTTGCCTGCTTCTCGATCTATCATCTCTCCTAGAATGAGGTATATCCATCTCATCGGGTTCATCATCTATCGGTCGTATGATTCCAGTTGGTATTGGTCTCTGTGGACCATAGGAACGGTATTGATTCTGGTAATCTCCCGAGCCGTATCTACCAGGAATATCATCATAGCTGTGGGCTAGAGCTTGGCGAGCTCTTGCTAGTTTCAACAGTTCATGTTTGAGTCGAGCAGTTTCTTCCAATTGACGTTTACGTTTATCAATCTCATACTGCAATTGGGCTTTCTTCTCCTCTTTCGCCTTCATCTCTTCGTCATCCGAATAATACGAAGGTGTTCTAGAGCCGGATCCAGAACCTGAACGATAACCGGCAGTTATCTGGGATTCGGATCGACTCACAGACAATTGATTTTGTGGCCCTTGCTGTTCCCGGTGATCAGGCTGTCCTCGATCAGTGGGAGTCCCTTTTCCTGTATAGAACATACGAGCATATGCCGATGGTTTGATTTTTTTGTACCGAACATTGGTAATTGGTTCCGAACGGGTACTATCACAGTCACTTAATCCTGATTGAGAACTATCATCAGTAGAATATTTAGATTGTCTTGCATCAGCGCTGTCTATTTTGGACTGAAAGTCGGATTCTATGTCCCGATCTTCCTTTATTGGAGAGAATTTAGCTATCATTGGATCCGAAGATTGGCGTTTATGTCTCTGGCGTCGAGGGGTGACTTGAGGCGAGGATCGTGAAGTTTGAGAACTACTAGATGGAGAAAGTCCTCCTCGCTTTCTAGAATCTGTTGGTGGAGGTTCGTATTGCTTTGGGGCTGGTGAGCGTTTCCCATTCCTTACCCTAGCAGCATGTCGTGCATCTAACTGGAGGGCGCCTATTTGCATCTGTAGCGCTCGAATCTCTTCTAATTCTTCAATCTTGCGCTTTCTATCTCTAGTCACTTTGCGTAGTTCTTCTTGCAATCGTTTCTTTAAGGATTTCATTGCTTCTGTTATGGGGATGTTGTAAATACTGATCAGGGAATCAATTATTGCATCCGTTTCGTCTTTAGGTCCAACTTTCTGACTAGATCCCACAGAACATGCTCGTAGTAGTCTTTGAGCTTCAGCGTGAGTCTTACTGCCTTTCATAGTCTGGGGAGAAACGTCAAAACTTTTAGCTTTTCCGACATCTGAGATGGGTTTTCGCTTTGATGCGCTATGTTTCGTGATTCTAGCAACCTCCATATCTTCCTCGTTCATCGAATCATCACTTTGAGAAATCGTAGAGGACTTTCTGTAACTGCCATTGGTAACTTTATTCTCAGTATGCTGTTGCTTCGATTGCTTTGTTCCTCGTATTTTAGCCTTTGGTTTTAACACTGGTTCTTCACCGACTGGTATTGGGGGTAATTTCCGGCGAATCTTTTTGGCTTCCTTCTTTTGTTCCCTTGAATGGTCACTCTGTGAATCGGATATCTGAAAAATGGTAAGTGAGAATAATGGTCATGTAATTCCCCCTCTCCCGAATCCTTAATGAAATCATTTTGAAATTAAGGTCCAAGGAACTAATCATTCATTATCTTTTAACGACGAAATCCGTCGGACAATATAATAGAAGTTAGAAAATGCTTTAGTTGACGGCAAAGTAAATGTAAACGATCAAAAAAGGAAAACAAAAGATCCAAACCTGACCATTGAAATATATTTTACAGATAAGTTGTACCTTTTCAAATTTCGAAATTTTATCCTTTATTTTCTGTGCATCTGATGGTATGGGTATTGGCTGTGACACTGGTTTGGTGCCAACGGGTTTAATTGGTGATTGTTTGGCAGTAGAGGTCGGGACAGGTTCATCTAAGCCCATCAAATCATCTCGAGAAGATTTATGGGATGCATCATCATCAAGGTCTGTACCTGTCGAGGATGGAGAGTGGGGCTTTGGTGGAGATGAATCTGAATCTGGAGGAGTAACGGGGGAAGGGAACATATACACATCCTGGTCAGGAGAGGAAGAAGGAGACACGGACGTGCTCTCTGAGAATTCCCTCTTGATAGGTTTTTGCTCAGGTGTAGGTGGCGAATCCAACACTTTATATTGTGGCGATACAGATTGTTCTTCGGATTCTATATGTTCGACTAAAATAGGATTTGGTCGTGCTTTCAAATATTTGGCTGTCTTTTTTTCAAACGAGTCTTGTTTTTGAAGCTGTCTGTCATCCGAAACAGTTTTCGGTTCATCACTAGTAGGTGGTTTTGATTCTTCCGTAGCCACGGTTTTCGGCACTGACATGGATGGCTTTGGTGCAGGAATCGGTGGTATCTTCTTAGGAGTAGACTCAACCCCTGGCTCGGGCAGTTTTCGTCTTGGTTTAGGCGGTGGTAGAGGCTTGAATTCAGCCACCCCTTTTCTAGCAATGTCTTCTAAGTCCTGACTTATTTTTCTTATTTCGATGCTGGTTATTGTCTCTAATACTGATTTATGATGAGCCGAGTCGCCAACTGTATCACCCTGAAAGACTGGTGACTTACTATAATGCGGAGTTGATTCAGTGGACAGAGTCTGGGCTAAACTGGCGCAATGCATCATTGCAAATTCATCCTTCGGTGGAGAGTCCTCTATGTGGTAGCTGGGGTCATTTCCATTCAGTTCATCGGACAGAGTACTCAGAGTCAAGCCGTTGTCACCAATTTTGCTCATATCTTCGAAATTTCCGTAACGTCGCAATGATCTGTATAAGTATTGGTCCGCTGGAGGCGGTACTGTAGCTAGTGGTGGTTGCACTTCGTCTGTGATTGGCTGCACCTCTTCCTCTTCTTCTTCATCCTGTTCCGCCATGGCCGCCTCCGCTCGCTCTATTTCTTCCTCTCTGGATTTCTGTCTTAAGAATTCCTCCCTTTGCTTCATCAACATATCTTCTTGTTCTGCTTCTTCAATAGATGGGGAGACATCTAGGATCGGGGACAGATCTATCACAGGGGACCAATCAGTAGTGGGAGGTCTCGCCTTTTGTCTCTTAGATCCTTGGTAGTCAATTGATTTAGTAGATGGATCAGCCAATTCTACATCTTCCATATCGCCGGAATTTGAAACATTATCATAATAGCCCGGCGATACTGGTGAGTTGGAATCAGGACTATCGTTGGATTCCGGTGAGCCATGTTCATTATTGTAACACGAAGCATTAACCTGTAAAGTAGTTGGTGACACGCTCATAGATGTCAGACTAGCTGTGCTGCTAGCAATGGTTGCCGCATAGGTAGCTAGATCCATAACCTGTACCTGGTCATGGATATCCTCCGCTATTTTAGCGGGTTGAAAGCAACTAAGATCTGATTTGAATTTATCACGAACGGGCATACTGAATGAAAATGGCTCTCCCGATGTTCCTATGATGGAATTGGGGATCTCTTCAGGCGACAACGGTGATGGTTTTTGTGCCATGTTAATTAAAGGGGCAGTAGTGTCTTTGCTCGGCCCTTGATCTCCGTAAAGTTCGTCTACTGATGGTTGTCTAGACGGTGGTGATAAATCACTGTAATTAAAGTGATGCCTTTTTTCTTTAGGAGACGTAGGTGACACGGAGCCAGACCGTTTCTTCCCAGGATAATGATCTTTTCTTTTTGGCGAGAATGGGGGACTCTCCAAACCTTCACGCCAGCTTGGACTTCGTGGAGGCGTGGGAGAATTTATTGCTTTACATTCGTGTATTTCTAGAGATGAAGTCATGAGATTGGCTTTTGGTTCTTCGGTTACGATTGGGGCGAGCTTAAGGTCTGGTTTTTTGGCAACGGGTGGGGGATGAGTGGGTTTCGATTTTGGTACTTGGTTCAAATTGGTCGTTACCTCTGCAGCTGATGCCGCAGCTGCTTCCAGGGATTCCTCTTCGTCTGAGGACGTTAGACTGTGTGACCTAGAGAGATTGAGGGACTTGGGTCGATATTTACGTCGAAAGGTTGAACCATCGGCGTCATCATTACTTACGGTACTTATGGACATATCGTCCCAGGCATCATCAGTACTTGCACCATCAGCACGGTACCGCTCGCCATAGATTTCCTCCATATCCAGATCAGACGCCAGATCGGAGAAATCATCAGAGTCACTTTTAGAGCCAGTACCTAAAATAAACAGACAGATAAACAATCTAACAAATCTTAACAAATAAATCTTTAGAAAGTTGTCTTCAAAAATTTAGTTTTTACTCTCATGAATTCATATCACCGGATACCCATATTGCACTTATCCGAAAAGACTTAAAGCGAAAACTTGTCCTAAGCTGTGTCTTAGAAATGTATTATCCAATCATTAAAATTTTATTATTAATAATTACAAAACTATTACATTTTTAAATAATTCAAGTAATAGCTCAGATAGCTTTGAATTAGGTTTTTTTTTTAAATCAGAATAAAATATTGATGTTTTAGTTTGGAATTTAAATTTAATATTTTAAATCGTCTATCTACTATAAAATAAAACGATGCATATATACATGCTGTAAATTTATATATATATATTGATCTATACATTGAATATAATATATATATATTATATATACAAATTTAGCGAATAATTATGTACGTATATAATTAGATAGTAATAAATATGCATAAGCTTGGCCATTTGGAAACTAAAGCGGTGCTTATTGTAGAATATTATTTCTCATTCTGCGTATCGCTATGAGTTTTAAGCAAATTGTCTCTCTGTTTTAATAACTGGAATGATATGTTCCGCTGTTCATAATAAAACCATATAGTGTGTTTAGATAACGGTATTTGCCATTTGAATATTCTTTCAAAATGTAATTTCTAGAAACCGTGACATTCTGAAGCTTTAAAACAAATTGATTCAGTAACGATATATCCTACCACATTTTTTTTACATCTATGAAATGATGTTAATTTAATAAAAGAATCAAAACTCTCTAGTAGGTTAGTAAGTGTGAAATGTTGTCCGTTGTTAATTGTGAACTTTTGTCTGTGTCATGAAATGATTGAAAAATGTGTGAACAGGGAGGTACAATGAAGGGAGTGGAAGCTTCTTCTAATTATACGTATGTCGTTCATACCTGCTATTTGGGTCTCTGAATGATATAGCATTAAAGCACTTCAAGAACATGAAAAATTTTTGGGTATTTTTAGAATCGCAATTGTAGATTAATATGATATAAATATTAATTAAATCACGTAGCAATTCCATTATCCCCCGCCTCCTAAATTTCTTTGTCAACTTTTGTCTTTAAAATCCATTATTCTAAAGACATATATGGATTCTCAAAAAAAAATAGTATTCGCCATTCAATGTTCAATTATCTTCTAGCGATGCAAAATATGTCATTTTATAATAACGATACACATTTTCTAGAATTGTTTTGAGCGTTCTTCGGAGATTGGTACACATGTCTTATACTCCCTTTACTTATACTCCCAGATGTAAATGTGTAAACAATGTTTAAAAAAGCTGATACAAACAATTGGAACATACAATGATATATGGAGAAAGCTGAAAGAAGAACAGAAAATGTGTGCATAAAAAATACATTGTACCTTTTCAAGCAGTGAACATGAACATTTAACATGAATTAAAGAAATAATATTCATGCAACTATCTGAACCAAGATGGAATACACAATGGATCTTTGTCGTAATCATTTGAAAAAGTATTGTTGCTACGACAATACTTAGTGGCGGACACCAAAGGCGGGGAACCATGACAAAAGATGTGAATCGGCCAAAACAAATCGGCCAAATCATTTTTGTGATTTTATTTTGATAGAGTTCTGGATGTAATATGTAAAGCCAAGTCAAGGCATGCAAAGATATTGAATTGGGACATATCACGATGATGCGTTTTACAGCGACATGTTGCATTTAATTTTTGTTTTATAAAAGATTGACGTAACTCCAAATCTGTCACTTCCTACCATAAACCCAGCAGATGGACGGCATCCGAAAAGGTTAGAGCAAATGCCAAAAACTAGTCGTTCTAAATCTGTCACTTCCTACCATAAACCCAGCAGATGGACGGCATCCGAAAAGGTTAGAGCAAATGCCAAAAACTAGTCGTTCTAAATGTCTGGAAGCCATTATAATGTAAAAGGAAATAATCGTTGGATATTTCGGACTTTATTTATATAAGGGAACGAATTCGTTCATTCATTATTAAAGATCAGCATATTCATTAAAACATCGAACAGTAGCTTTATGTAGTAACGTGATAATAAGACACAAATCTACTCATCAGTTTTCTCATGAATAAATCATAGTGTTAGGTTAACATGAATGCATATAAACCACTTAATGTTATTATCCTTGTCGCAACATAAACAACAAGATAAATGTAAGATAATAGCCGAAATGTACAGAATCTAAAATATAAATTATGACTTTGTTTCGTTCATTTTTCCTGCCGTTCTAATTGTGTTAAGACGGTTTTATAATACCGAACAGTCATAAATCATTTCCATATACGCTTTACCATACTTTATAATAATACACAGCATACCAATATCGATAATTTGATTTGTGTGATCTGTAATATGCCAGTTAAAACAAAAATTAAAACGAAACGGAATTAACATCTGATTTTAATCTGATTGAACAGATGCACTCCCATAAAAGGTAATTTGGGCGTTTAGCTTTGACAAGACATTAAAGCGCCCCTAAAGACAGAATTCAAAGAAAGCAATTTTCCCAAGGCGAACATTGAGCCATTTGGTTGCTCTTATTATTCACATTATGAAACACAAGAAATTAAATGTGTATTTCGAAAATACGCCATATATATTTTAATCAGTGATATGTCCCTTCAATAAAAAAGCGGAATATGATGTAAATTAGTTTGGCTGTAATGACATATTCACCACATTGGCCTATTACAGACATAAGAACGCCTTGTAAAAAGTGAAAAAAGAAATAAAAATGTTATGACTACATTGAATAAACAACAAATGGGATGAAATCATACACCGTGAAAAACATGACAGGTAAACACGGTCCTTTCTTTTATTTTTCCCCTACATTGTTCACCAATGAAGATGATACCCATCGTGCTACTTATACCATTTCCATGAAACTGGTAAACTATAAACATCTCGAAATCAACATTATATTACAGGTAGCCGTTTAGCGAGTTTCGCCTGTACCGTATACCGTGATGATATGAGTTCAAATTTGTGTCATCATATTTGTTACCGTGTATGATTTAGAATGAAGTACTAGTACTCAATTATGAGAGGATCAAAGTCTCATTCAGTTTATATGCACATTCAATTTTAGATGTGTTGGTGTAATGTACATTCAATTTTAGATGTGATAATGTACTAGAAAACCATAAGGATTTTAAGTGAAGAAAAAAAGGATATCACTTCGAAAATATGCACGTTAGCATTAATAACTTCACTTGACATGCTAACCAATGCCATATAAATCATTTACATGATCACGTAATTTGTTGCAATAACAGAGATATGGCATAGCTCATACATGTAAAAGATCTAATAAGTAACAGTAACAAGAAAACATGAGAAAGGGAGCACATTAATTCAATTCATATTTCAAATCTAACTGGATGAGACTTGAGCCTATTCTAAATGTCGACTTATGTTTGATATCAACCCAGAATAAACGTCGATAATTTTTTTTATCCTTGGCCGAACTAAATTTTCAATTTTTGGTCTAATAGTTCGACTAAATTAATTGCGTTGATCTTGTTTGGCGACCTCGGTAAAACCATTTAGCCGTGCTTGCCTTGTGTTTACCGAATAAACGCCTACTGTCTGCGGTGTAGAATCAATAACTATAAAATCGACATTACATAAATACGACTTTTAGAAGAGGCTTTAGTTAATGTCTTATGTTTAGACATGAAGTGTAACATGTTTATTAGTAGTAAATATCTGGACAATTCATTCAGAATGAGAAATAATATTCGATTTGTTGTCATAAATCTGATTTGTTTTAATTTAGAAAAGGATATGTGAGTTGGATAATGTTAGTGGTCGACTATTTCTACTATTAACGGATTTATAACCACCAAAAGCTAAATTTACCTTTCAAGCGTGATGGGGGTGTTTCAATAGAATTGGATTTCTGGAGCCTATCCGTCTTTTTATTCTTGTTATCTCCCTTCCCTTTCTTCTCAATTTTATTTCCGTGTGCATCCACAGCTTCCAATCTTTGATGAACAATTGGACCTGGAAATAACTTGGGTTTTCCATTCGGGAATCCACGTGTGGTTTTCGGTGGAGGAACAGGGGGTTCTTTAGATGGCCCAGACGACGACTCTGTCGGCTTTTGTTTATCAGTTCCCGCACTGCTATCTTTAACAACGTCCGCGGACTTTTTGGCTTTACTTAAATCTTTTTCTGCACTCTTGTCTTCCACAGATGACGATCTTGGAATACGCTTAGGCGGGGGAATAGGTTTAGGCGCGACCTGGGGTTTTATCTTATGTCCTGATTTGTCCATAGGAATTGGTTTGGGTAATGGCATATTTTCAGTACGTTCTTGGTGTCTTTTCAAATTTTGTTCTGTCATTTCACAAACATTGCTTTCGATATCTAATCCATGTTTAGGATTCACATTAGGTTTATGTTTTACGCCAAAATCGGTCTGAGGTCCTGTTGACGACACTGAACTTTGACTTTTGTCCTGGGATACCGAGGGTCCTGGTTTTTGTTTATGCTTCGGACTTACACTAGTGTTTTGAGTCGTGTCAGTGGGCAACACAGATGTGGGAGGTTTAGTCGTTTTGGGGATATCTTGAGTAGAAGGATGGTGTGACAAATCCTTTTTACGTTTTTCAGATTCCCGTTTTGGCTGATCAGATGCCTTTGATGGATGTTGAGCCGGTGGTTCATGCTTTAAAGACTGGTGTTGTATAAAACCTCGCTGAGCAATATTTTGTTTAATTTCCTCAGGTTTCACACCCCGCTGTTTGGATATTTCGAATTCGGACTGTTGAATTTCCCTCTTACTAGGTTCCTGTCTTAGTGGTTCGCCCTTTGTGTGTTCCTTCCGAGATTCGCTTTTCGCTTGATCCTTTTGCGGTTCGACTTTTGCTTGCTCCCTACATGCAGAGCTTATCGTGATATTTTGGTCCTGTTTTGACACCTCTGACGACATAACACCAAATGCACCAGCTCGTATTTCGGATTTCCCTCGTGGTGAGGTTGCAGAATCCATAGATGCGTTTGGAGAGGGACCTCGTGGAGATGGTGTCAATTTCGGGGAAGAGCCTCCTTTGAAAATATCCTGTATAGATGCTGCGCGTGGCGAGGAATCGGGTAATAATGAGTCTGGTAACACAAGTTCTCCTGGAGAAGAGTCATATCTCCGCGTCACTGGCAGTGTCAGTTCTTGTTGTGGCGGATCAAACATGTTTGTATTTTGGTTCACTGATTCAGGTAAAGAAGTCTCAAGTTTGGCCGATTCCTGTTTTAGTTGATCGCGCGGAGATGAATTGTATTTGCGTGTGTCTTGCTTCTCAAGTTTACCCGGTTCCTGTTTTAGTTGACCGCGCGTGTCTTGCTGTGTTGGATCAATTATACGCACGTCTTTTGAATGTTCACTAGATAAAGACGCCCGCTTTGATGTTTCATGCTGAACCGGGTCACGCGAGGAAGATTCTTTCTTTGATGGGCCACCTTTAGTTGGAGCATAGGGTCGTTCGACCTGTTTTGTAGATTGTTCGAGCATGGAAGGATCACTTTTCCGTGCTTCTGTTTGTAGTGGATTATACACAGAAGTGTCGTATTTGCTGTGGTCATGTTTAGTTGCTTCCCTTTGTGAAGGTTCGCGTGATGGAGTGTGATGTGTCCGCATGTCACGCTGGTTTGCCCCGCTTTCATATTTGTCGAGCTCTTTTTTAGGTAGTTCACGCTGAGACGTATCATGTTGACGTACATCCGGTTGAGCCACCCCCTTTTGAGAGCCCTGTTTTGATTGCTCGCGAGGCGATGAGCTATGTTTTTGAATGTCTTTTTCCGAAATTTCCTTCTTCGAAGAAGAATCGTACTTCCCCGTGGCCGGCTTTGGCGTCACCATTTGCCAAGAATCAGATTTACGTGACTCTTGTATTGATTGACCTTTTGGGGAAGATTCATGTTTACGTGTCTCCTTTTGTGAAGAATCGTATTTGAGCGTATCTTGATGTTTTGTGTCCTTTTGTGGAGACTCATATTTGCGTGTTTCTTGTTTTGGGCTGACTTGAGGTAAGTTTGTACTGGTACCAGGTACTATTTCTGGTGTTAAACTACGGGAAGTTCTTGGAACTGGTTCTGGCAATTGAGCTGCAGTTGGCCGAAGTGGAGAACGATCTCGTATTAATGGTTGCTGTAGCAGCTGTAACAAATAAAAAAAACAATTCAGTAAATACTAACAGTGACTATTGTGGTGGCAATTGTCTGGAGGCTTGCTCAAGCGAGTAGCTATTCTGAAATTCAAGTCGAAATTACTACTCAATCTGGCTCTCCTCTCAGTGTTACTAAAAGCAAAATACAGTAATGGATTAAAGTAGAATTTCATAGGATGATGTTTCTAAAAAAGACGACAGAGCGGAAATGTTCATTAACAAACTTCCAGCTCTATCGTGTATCGTCTGATTGGGATAATAAACAAAAATATGCTATCAAGTACCACACATGTCCTTATCAATCAAAGAGCTATAGTCTTTTTAAATATGAATACAACACATGAGAATAATGACTTAAGCAGAGTGGGAAGAAACCGATTTGCCGACACGTGCAACAATGATATTCATTATAATCAACAGTGCACCAATCAGACTACATAGCTACCTAAGCCATCTGGATCATCGACCGCTCAGTAACTTGCTCACAAACTAGGAACCCACGATTCTAGCCCGGTGTCCCCTCGTCAGTGGTGCAAAGAACGCCAAGAAAATAATTTAATAGTTCGGATGGTACAACAACCGAGGTCCATTGTATACCATTGGCAGAACGTTAAAGAACCTCCGGTCCGGACAATATTTCCGGCATAGAACACCACATAGCGTAACGCCGTCTGCATTATCACAGTTGGTGCAGAATGTAGATTTTCATAAAATATAATTGCACATTAATAGAACCCATACCCTGGTCACTGTTGCTATCGTTAAGAGTTATAATTCGTAAATGTCAAATTTACATAATGATTAATTATCAATGTTAACACACAGAACTTCAAATACGTTTCTTCTTGCCACAATAACGAACTATTACCTCTTTCTCCTTTACTGATATGTAAACAATTATATTGAAAATCTTTTCAAGTCTCATCATATCCTAGGAATATGGCAAATTAGTTACAGCGCAAACAATCATTCAGCATTTGTGTTTCTAAAAGTAATAATTGCGATGAATAAGATATAAAAGAACGTATGACCTCCCTGATGTGGATGAAATTGAACGTCCTAATTCAATTATATAGTTTGTTTGTTTGCGTGGTAAGCTGTTCTAAAGAACAACTGCAAATTATTAAAGATATTGTTTTTGCTGACAGAAGGCCAGGATGGATTATTGACCGTAATAAATTGGTTACATCGAAGTACAATCTGTTTAGTGTCAAGATGCTTATTAGTTTATTCATCTTACCGGATTTGGAGGTAAAACCAGTTCCTTCTCTAGTGGTAAATCTGTTTCTGGATGCGAACCATGATACCATAATCCACTGCTCATTAACAGCTTCCGGCGTCTTTCACAGACTTGACACACCCACTCCTGTGCCTGAAGATATAGTTACAAACCACACTTTAAATTTAATGGTCGATCGAATGCCCTAGGCATGGCTCAACAAACGAGTATCAATGGCCATCGTCAATGGGGAGGAACTAAGAACGTGGGGAGGGGGAGTCCCATGTTGTATGTCATGACTTTTACTGATATTTGTGTATCGGGAGAGGGCGGGGGTAGAGGCTGGGATGGGGGGAATAATGGGACCATAGTGACAGAATGGGGGCCGAGAACATAATGACGGCGAAAAGGTTAGGCCAATAATAGTATAGAAACATCTACCGGGCGATCAGTGAAAGGAGTTTTCACGCATGTAACATCTGTATCCATAATGTAGCTCCAGCGAGTTTGATCATGGAATATTCCGTAGATTCTTATTCTGTTCTGTGGGCTAATATCATTATCACCAGTTGATTCGTTGTTGATATGATAAGAACAAAAATCAAATTAAAACAAATGCATAGGTTTAATGAATCTACTCAGATCCAAATGAATACGTACGTTGTTTATAAAGTTTCTCATTATATTATAATGAGATAAAAGATACGACTCTTTTAAAAAAAATAGCCTACAGCTAACACGCGACAAAATTCCATATTGTAAATGGATGAACATCGTAATACGTAATATGTAATTTCTCTGTAATGATGATATTTCAAAATACGATATGGATGAAATTCTCGGCGAACTAATTGCTAGAAAGAATCAGTCAAAACAGACATGGGTCAGCGTAAAAGTGAAATGTGGGGTAACAATCTGATTTACTACTAATATATCTGGCTTTACACTCGTGTGTTTATAATGAAAACTGCCCAATAGTCACTTTAGCTGCATAAATGTACTACTGTATTTTTTGGAGCAAAGAATACGACGCTGCTTGTAATTTCTTTAGGGATATTGTCGTGTTTTATGTAAAATGTCTTAGTCTGATGAATTTCATTGTCAGAGGACAGAGGGGTGGGACAGCTGTCTTATTAACAATGATTTTTATTAATTACATTTCTATATCTATCTTATACTAGTGATAAATTCGGCAATATGAAATTCACGTCAACAGTTCGTGTGGTATGGTACATTGCGTGAGCTAATTAGGTCAAAGAATAAGACCTTTTTGTTTCTGATTTTATATTCCCTTTGTTTATTTCCAACAAGGCATACCCTTTTTCATCTGCAGTTTTATAATATACATTAACCTGGTTCAAACGTGGCTGTGATCTAACCTAGTCCATGCATACATACCAAGAGATCGGTACATTCTGGTCGTCGGTCAAGTGATGTAACCGCGCCTTAAGGGAACTGGAACCTGATTACTTTGTCTTGGGTGCGAGATTTGTTAACCCCTGTTTCCACTTGTCAAGGTGGGAGCGAATATTGGCGGACAAATACAGAGACTGTTCGAATGTGACAAAAAGGTTACCTGTGTATATATCAGAGTTGGATTTCAATGAAGGGTCGACGAGAACGTCGGTGTCCAACATAGCACTGCGTATCTGACCACAGACACAAATTAACGTTATACTAGTCTCAAAGTGTTTTGTTGAAACTCATTGCCTTCATATAATATGATATCTAATTTATTGTTGCAAATACTTCTAACACAAAGTTGGCCACATCGATCGTGTAATGTCACGTGGCAATCATGTGTCTCTAGAGACATGAGTTGCTTCTACTAACAATAATTCACTCATTTCTTTAATAGACTTTCACTTTCTTTAAATCTCATTCTAATTAAAACGC